ATTCGTTAAATGTTCAAGAGCAGCTGTTGTTAAAGTGTTTAAAAGGAGAACTATGGGATTAAGGCTAGTTCTTACAATTGTCTGCAGATGTTCTGTGGTCAGATGGAAAAGGTGCAACAGATTCCTCCATCTACACCTAACTGTGTGGATGGAGGAATCTCCACCTGGGCCAATCTGTTGCACTTTTTCCATCTGACCACAGAAAATCTGCAGATAATTGTAAGGTGTAAAGGTGTATGGGCACCTTTAGGATCATATCTAGCCCTTCCTAAGGGGGGTAATTTTGTGAGGTAATCAAAGCGGATGGTGTGTGATCAGGAGTCTGCTGCAAGTGGCCATTATTTCAGAGGAAACGTGTGCTTGGGCTATGGGTAATTACAAATCTGGTAAGTTATGGACTCCACATTTATCAGTCCCATGGTAGCTGGTGTGGGTTTTTTATGTTCATCATTTACTGGCTGATAAGCAGCTGTGCGGGATTGAGGTTACTGTCCCTGATCCTGGGGAATGATTAGCTGCATAAGGTAAGAGATTTGTAATGCAGCTGGGATGCCTATTGAGCTAAAAAAAAAAAAAATAGGTCAATTGGTGCTTTTATAGTTTACTCAGGGAGCCTGTGATATACACCAGGAAGCGAGTTACCTTCCCCTTTGTTTAGAAGCAGAGTGATATCCAAAGGGCATCGATCTTTGAATGACAGTAGTCAGGGAAGAACAACATTTAGGACTTCCTTATAAGTTAGTTATGTCACAGGGTTGAGGAATAATGTCTTATAATCCACAGCAATTCAGTAAAATGGGACCCCACTTACTCACTGATCTGAGCAGGGCTTTCCCAGTAAACTACTACACAATCCAAACGAAGCCCTGTAACACTCACTTGCAGTGAATTGGCACGATCTGTGCTGCATCTCAGTTCACAGCATTACTAGTGCCCGCAATTTGAGTATGGCTGGTGTGTTGGCAGCCATTAGGGATGCACGATACCGTTTTTTTGGTATCGAGTGTGGGTACTGATATTTTTTTTCGGTACTCGCAGACGCCGAATACCGATATCAGAAGTCCCATTAAGGAAGCCGGGTGGCGTGTAATGACTCGCCGCCCAGCTTCCTGATTAGCCATGAAGCTGTCTCATTGTTCCCTTGTCACCAGGTGACGAGATAGCAAAGAGCTGGCTTCCTGATTGGCCGGAAGAAAGCTCCATGCTCCCTGGTGACGAGGGAGCATGGAGCCGGCTTCCTCACTAAACAGGCTTCCTGATACTGGAATTCCGGTATTGGGATAAGCATCGGGAGCATTTGGGCGAGTACGAGTACTCCCCAAATATTCAGTATTGGCACCGATACTAGTATTGGTACATCCCTAGCAGCCATAGAGTTATTTTAAACTGGAAAAGTGCATCCAGCAATAGTTTGCCATGTGCGAGCATAGTGCATCAATGGTGTAGGCTCCCTGGGCCATCCAGTTAGGTGAACATTTTATTGCATCCTTCAATGTCTTTAAATTGTAACGAGAAAGCCTAAAAAATGAATTTCTATGTAGGTGAAGGATTTCCCTAGTTTCTTTCAGCCAATCTTGAAAAAGCTATAGTGGTAGCAAACGTTTTTGTAAAAGCAACTTAGTTGAACACAGGAGGTAGGGTAGCCACCTCATGCTATAAAAGCTATGCATACTTATTTTTTTTTACATTTTCCTTAGACTAAACCAACAATTGTTTTAACTTCTCTACTGGTAAGCAAGGAGTTAGAGATACACCATACATGACATAATTTGATGCGTCGATGTTTACTATTTTTGAGACAGTCAATTTTATCTTTGAATTTTTTTTTTAGCTACTGAAGGTTTTGTAATTCTTAGTCTTTCGTTTCACAAACTTTTGCCACAAAACACAAGCAATTAGAATTTCTGAGGGCAGTAGTACCTTCTAAAGCCTATGCTATGTTTGTCCTCTCTCCATTTCCTGCATTACCAAACACATTCAAACTTTCAAGGCAGGTATGATTTATATTGGTGGCTGTAATAAACTTCTTACTACTAACATTTGTATCCGCAATACTTTCTATGTATGACAGGCAATAGGGAAGGTATTCTAGCATGGTCAGTGTGTAGGTTGAAGGATCATTGTAATATAGACAAAAGTGAGTAGGGTGTAATGATGCAATACAGCAATACCAGGATGAAAAAGTGAACTGGCAGGTAGGCTATGCCCCCTGTGTCCATTTCAAAGTGTAATGTTCATTTTTATCTGAAGTGTATCCCTTAAACAGAAGCACAACAATGTTTTAATCATTAAACATTTTACCCCTTTGGTTGTAAAGCTGTTAGAAACACAACAATTCTGAGAAGTGCCATGACTTCATTTGAACAATTTAAGGAAAGCTTAAGAGATAAAGCAAGGTGAAGCACTCGATATTGAGTAGCATGTGTTTACCAGATTCATGACATTTTGTTTTGCATGCTTCTGTTCCCCAGAGATAGAGATGGATGCTAGAAGCTGAGGCAACAATTGCACATGCCAAGTTGAAAAGGAAATTCATAAATATAAACCTGAGTCTGTTTCATGTGTGATTTACTTCTGATGCAAGAAGTGGTTATGCATACTCAAGGGAACACAGGATCCACAAATTGAATTTCTAACATTGCATTTCCCTGAAAAATAGCATTTCCTACTCTCACAATGAAATGCCACAGGCCCTTTTGTATGAAAGTTTCAGGTTCTGTGATCTAGCCTTTCACTTGCAGGTAGGCCCAACATAGACTGAATTAATGAAGCATTTTGCCACTAAATAATGACATAAACTACCTTTCATATATATGACAATTGGATGCTGGTTAAAGGCTCTGACCACTTTTCAAACATGAGTTGCAGCAGATTTTGTCTCATCCCACAACATAAATCTGGGGGTATGAATGCCAATTTCTACATATGCCCCACTCAGAGGGCATCATGCACTCTAATACTGTTGCAATTCCAGGGAAATATTTTGGACATCAGTTCGTAAAAAGATGACCTGGAAATGCAAAGTGTGGGCAACTAAATAAATAAGGGTCATGGGCCCCTTAAGAAGAAACAATTAAAGGGCAATATGATCATAACAATACATGTATGGCCCATAGAGGAAGTTGTTCACGTAACAAATTCACAGGGTTATTCACAAAAGGGTGAAGAGTTTGGAGAAGGCAGGAGAAGTGAACAATCTAGGACAACATAGCTGATTTGGAAAAAAAATCTCCAATTCAGCTCACTTTCCAGTTCAGCTATGCTGTCCTAGATTGTTCACTTCTCCTGCCTTCTCCAAACTCTTCACCCTTTTGTCAATAACCCTGTGAATTTGTTTTCACGTTAAAGCAAATTGGGTCGTGCTAAGGATATTTTGCCTTCTTCTGGACCAAGAAGGACAGTTAAATTGTATTTGTACTTTGTACACACTGGATACAGCAACAGGTTTACTTGACAATAGGGACTTTACAGCAACACTAAACGCAGGAGTTAAATCTCAAAAATACATTCAAGCACCTTAACTATTATCAGAAATGTATCTTATTTGTGTGTCACCCAGTTGTAGATCCTCAAATCATCTATGAATTCATGCTGACGCTGTCATTTCCTCCTGGAGGGTGACTACTTTTGTTCCCCATGGTCTGTATGTGTGTTGCAAAGTAGCCACCCCTCCAAGCTCACTCCTGTGGACTACAATCTCAGGTTTAGTACTGAGATTGTAGTCTATCATGGGAGCGATCTTGGAGGGGTGGCTACTTTACAACACACAGGGACCATGGGGAACAAAAGTAGTCACCCTCCAGGAGGAAATGACAGCGTCAGCATGAATTCATAGATGATTTGAGGATCTACAACTGGGTGACACACAAATAAGATACATGTGTGTTTGAGATTGAACTCCTGAGTTCAGTGTTACTTTAATCATGTTATATACCATCCCCACACCCAGTCCATTACCAGGTCACTCGAAGCCACAGTATTTTTATCACCAAAGGACAGTTCCACATCATTGGGAAGTTAATCATTTTACCACTTGCTCAACTACATTTTTGAAAACTTTATAATCTGCAGCTTTTATCATAAAGGGCTGAAACACTTTCTAAGGTCTCATATGTATTACAAGGTACTAAAAACTGTGTGAACGCATTCAATTTATAGTATCATGCAGACAGTGAAAGCATTATTTTAGTGTGTGTGACATTTGGATAAACACTACTGAAGCATTAGAGTGAATAGCATACTTATGCATAGTTATACACCCAGTCTTTGTCCAGAGGTGAAACTACAGGGAAGGAACAAAGGTTTATTATCTTTGTTACATTATCACCAACAGTTGTCAAGGGATGGCTGCACATAAGTGTAATGTAATCAAGCACTGAATATAACAAGGCAAATTACAGATAGTTTTTATTTAAGGTCTTCAGGTCATATGTATAATGAATACTTGAGTGAATCCCAAGTTTAGCCCGCAAATCTGTCAAACGTCCTAGCATTGTGACGGTCTTTTTTCTTATCAGGAAACTGTAATTAATCCTTAAAGTTACCAAAATGTTTAAACTCTGGGCACAAAAACGTTCATTGAAATAAGATTCCTCAATATCCATAATGGATATAAATCCACTTTGTGTGCACCAAATGCCTTTGCAATCCTAAATATTACCGGTAGTATCTCTGTGCAGAGAGCTGTGGGAGAGAAAAGGCAGGTCCATCTACTACAGGCTGCCTGCAAAAAATTACAGGGGGGCCGGCACAAGGCCAGTCCCTCTGAACAAAGAGAACAAGCAGCACTGACTGGTCCTTATTACAGGAAACTCCTGCACAGAGGTAAAGTGATGGATTAACAAAGGACACTAGGATTTAAGTAAGAATATGCATTGCCTCTTGTATTTATACAATAGCTCTATAGCCTAGTTTCCAGTCTATACTATAGACTGCAACCAGCAGCTCCACTACATTCTGGTGAGACGCACGCTGAAGACCAATTTAGCAAATCATTCAACAATTAAATACAATTTTGACATGATTTATTGCACCATAGCAACATCAAAACTATCCAGACAGCTGTCAATTATTTTTATCTTTTCATCTGACAGCAAATTCTCCTGCCTCAATTGTGCAATGAGAGTTTCCAGTGATCTTAGACGAGAGAGTGTTACATTTTCCTGCACTTCCAGAAGTGCTATTTTAGACTGCAGTTTAGCGATGGTTTGCCAGAGATGATTTCTGTCAAAATCCTGTTTGCAGTATGAATGCTCGGTTTCTAGCAGCTCATCAGCTGTGCTTGATTCCTTGGAAAATGTATTTTCAACATCAAAGATTTCTTCATTAGCGGACTGTCGATCATCCAAAATGACCTGGCTTGTCAGAACAGGCTGCTTTTCTGAAATTCCATCTGGCACAATGATTGTAATAACAGATTCTCCAGCCGAGTCCAGTTGTTCTATTGTTTGCTTAATTGCTGTGAACACAAGTGATTTGTCAGAGGGTTGTGGTTTGTTGCTGAAATTATCTACATGAAATGCATTTAAATCCTCTGTCACAATGGCAGCCTGCTCTGCTAATGGAACTTCAAAACACATCTTGGAGTCTGATATTGTGTTAATAAGCATATTTTCTAGAGAGGCATGATTCAACTCGAAAGTCACAATCTGACAGGCTGACATTTCATATTCTGCCTTTGTCTGTCCACAAAGTAACTCTTTGCAATCTGAAATTGTGATGCCATCCATTTTGATGAGGGAATATTACAAGTCAAGGATCACAGAGATAGCAAACACGTGACTCAATGCAGTATATAACAATTATTAATTAAGCCAGTGATATTTGTCACCACATTGCCACATTCTTTGGATTCTGTAGAGGAAAAAAAAAAAAACAATCAGTCTTCTATGTAACAATATTTCAAGATCACTGCCATCATGAAGCTCACTCATTCATGCTAACAGGTGTTCAAAATGTTATATATATATATATATATTAGGGCTTGAAAAATTTGGCGGTGTCTCTTACAGGGTGGGAGAGAGAGAGGGTATACAGAGAAAAATTCACAGAGAGGATATAATGTAAAAGAAGATGGACAGAGGGAGACTTACTGGGGAAAAAACGTGTGATCTGCTTGCAGCCTCCTTCTCACTGTATAGCAGCTCCACCCACTATTTCCTGCGTCCCGGCCGCATCGGGCAAAGCGGATCTCGGGACCGAACACGGCAGTCACAGATGCTGATACAAGTGATCGAGCGTCTATAGAGACGCTCGATCGCTTGACTGTGTTAAGCTCCCGGCCGGCCCTGTAATTACAACGGCCGGCCGGCCGGGAAGCTGCTCGTCAGGCTCCACTGGCTGCTCGTCACAGACGAGTGGACAAGTGGATTTTTCGAGCCCTGTATATATATACATATACACACACATACACACACACATACACACACACACACACACATATACATACAAGATCCTTTTGGAGTTCAGTTTTTAAAGAACCCCTTTTAACTGAAAAATGTACAATACCCTGCATAAGTATTCACCTCACTTAAGTATGTTGTGATGTTTGGAGATATTAACACATATGGTGAGCACTTTAAGGACACACTCCACTCGCAATGTCTTCTTTTCAAGGGCTTGGTAGTACACTTTTATCCAAATGAAAGTTGACATGTCCACCTAGGACCACCACAAAGAATCTGAAGGTTTTAGAATCATCTAGCCAAAGTTTAGACACCAATTTTACATAACCAAATAAAATGGGAAATATACATAATTCAAAGGTTTAAAGCTGGTGAAGAGATACCCTAACCAACTCACAGCCATGACTACAACCAAAGAATATTTATGCAGCCAACAAATATCTACTTTCATTACACTTGTGCTACAATTAAAAAAAATGTACACTTTGTGTGTATTATTATATTCGATCTAATCTATTTCCAGTTTGCAAAATTTTTTTGTTTAAAAAAACAAATAGGTGGCAATACTTATGCAAGGTACTGTACAGTAAGCGAATCAATGTCAGTGCACTTTTCTACAATATTTGTGGTTAAAGCAAACCTTTCCTAAAAGAAATATGGAGGCTATCACTGCTGACCTTCTAAAAAAATGGTAGTTGCTTGCTGTTTATGCTGAACTCAAAACTTTCTAAGTCAATGACCTGAATAACATAAGATCCGGAAAGTAATAGTAAATAATAACGTTACAATTCCATATTTGCACAATTGTCCTGGTCTGGTAACGTTCTTGAGCTGGCCATACACCTATAGATTATGTGCAGATTTTCTATGGTCAAATGGAAAAAGTGCAACAGATTCCTCCATCTACGCTAAACTGTGTGGGTGGCGTAATCTCCCACTGGGCCAAGCTTCAGCACCTTGCTGGTTGGCCCGCTGGCTCTCAAAACACCTGAACAATCTGATTGGATGCAGGCACTGTTCAGGTATTTTGGCAACCAGAGGGGCCGACTAACAAGATACTGAAGTTTGGCCCAGTGGGAGATTCCTCCAGCCACACCGTTTATTGTAGATGGAGGAATCTGTTGCACTTTTCCATCTGACCATAGAAAATCTGCACATAATCTATAGGTCTGTGACCAGCTTAAATCTGTCAAAAAAAAATTAAAAGCAATATGGCAACCTGGAGGTGTTCTATACACAGCTGGTGATTTGGTATACAGAATGCCTCCAGAAATGTCACCTCCTGCGATTGGCTGGCTGATTTTCTCAGAAGTCTGCACTAAAGGTGGCCATACACTTTACAACCCTGTAAAGTACTTTAAAAAACATACGATCTGCCCATCTTGGACAGGCAGATCGCACTTGCGATCATCGCAAGCCCGCCCCCTGGGGGGCGGCTTACAATGACTGTAATGAGGGGCGGGCTTACGATGACTGCAAACGGCTAACTCGCTGAGAATGGAACGATTCCCGGCGGGTTTTCTAGCCTGCTGGTTCAATGGAAGACGTACAGTAGAAACGGTCACACGCCTTCCATACACTTTGCGATTATCGTACGATCGCGGGATTTCCCGTGATTCTCATACGAGAATCGTGCAGTATATGGGCACCTTTAGATACCCTAACCCTATTACAACACAGGGAGTCCACCAGCTGATTATAATGAACCCAGACCTTCCCATTCAGGGATCAGTTTGGAAAGGACATGATGCAACAAACGGCTATTTCTTCAGAACAGAATCAGGTAGCAAATTGCAAACGTGGGTAAAATCCTTGTAATATACACAGATCACCCAGAAGATTGATTTTTTTTCTCTCAACAAATGTGGAGTTACTCTTTATGGCAAGGGGATCAACATGACAGCCAGGCAACTAGCATTTGCAGAAGAAGATGGCAACCTCCATATTTCTCTAACAAACAGAAGCACTTATACATACTGTTTTTTTTGGATGAAATGCAGTTTCCATGAGAGATGCAAATATGTTTAGTACATAGCACTAGATCACATTACAACTGTGAGTCAAAGTTCGAATACACTTAGACAATGACAGCTCGCTAATACACAAGACTTGCAATGTTCCAGTGATCCATATCCATAGCTTTTCATGTACGCTTGCTTTTATTATTTCACGTTGTTTGTGTAGCACCATGCTTGACAAAATGTAACAATATATAATTGAAAGATTGCACTTAATAATAAAAGGTATGACCTATATTTTCACTTAGAGCGAGATAAACACTCTACTCTCCTCCAGTTTTCATAAATCTGTCCAAAGTCCAATAACACTTTATAGCTGAGCAAACACCAGGACAAAACAACTTCAAACTTTGAGTCTTTTCTAGAAATTTCAGCTGGGTTAGACTGTGTGCCTTCTAGAGCTGCAGCTAACGATTATTTTCAAAATCGATTAGTTAGTCGATTATTAAGTTCGATTAATCGGTTAATCGGATAAACTATAAAATAAAGTTTAAAAAATGGCTCCAGTGATGGGACTACTAGTTTGTTGAAATGTTCAGTAATGACAAACACATACTTCTAGATAATTGCCAGCTTTGTCTATCTCTCCCAGCCTTCTAGCAGTGGCCATGTTAACTGAGGGCAGATTACTAGATCACCTTTTACTTCCTGGAACTCTGGCACATGTGACTAGGACATGTGACCATGTACATCATCTTGGCGGAGAAAAATGCCTTTCCCTGAGATCTTGTGAGATTACAGATGAGATTTTCCAGCTATGCTCTGCTGATGTAACCTTCACAGGATGCAACACTTGGCCATGATTACATCATTTGTACCAGAAGTGGACCAGGAAGTAGATGAACTTATTGGCATGGAGAGCTGCATCCTGCTGTGATTTTTAGTGAAAGGGGGGTAAAGGTCCATTTTAAAAATTAATTTGTTTACCATTGAGTTAGAGTTAAACTGCATATCCATTGATGACACACCAGCAATAATTACATCGGAGTATATATCATATATAATATGCTACCAAAACCAGTATACTCATTAACAAAAAAGTGTGTGAACTTAAAGCAGAACTCCAGGCAAATAAAATAAACCCTTGCAGTGGGTCTACCCCTGCACTGCAAGAGTTATGTGCGTGTTTTTTTTAGGGGGATAAAATAAGAGTTATACTCACCCGATCCCATGATCCCAGCTTGCTCTAACACTGATCCCTTCAGCCTTGAATCCCCTACGCTCCAGGGGTCTAAGGTCCTGTGAGTCATCACGTTCTATACAGTCTATGGGATGTGAGGATGCCATAGGACATTCCATTACTGGAGTGCAAAAGGAGATATGCTGCAGGAAGTGGTCTAGGAGCCAGCCGGGATTGTGGTTCCAGTGAGTATAACTCTGTTATTTTAGCTTCCTAGACAAAACAAGCCTTTAACCCTTACATTGAGGGGGTAGCGCCACTTCAAGGGTTAAGATTGTATTTGTCTGAAGGTTGGCTTTAAAATGTGCTCATGTGTGAGCGGATTATCAGGATCAAGACCATTTTAGACCTAAACCACCCGTAACAGGCCAATATATATGAGGAAAAACCCAATTCCTCTAAGCAATCAACCGATATGTGGATATCACGCGGGCTGGGCAAAAATGCAAGGTGTATAATAACACCATTAGACAATATTCATGGTCCCCACATGCTCACATCTTTGGTGTTGAACATACTGTTCTGTTAAAGATCTGGCTGCCCAGGATGGGTTGGGTCACCAACATTTCAGAATAAATGACCTTTGACCAAACCCTTTCACAGCAAATGCATACAAGGAAATAAAACTAATGTCAACCGATGTGCTTTTACCTTTTCCTTTTGAACATTAGACGCCTACCCATACACTACTAGAGAAGAGTGAATTACACTCATCCTAATAGTTAGAGCCGACCTGTGACACTGAAACTGTCGCACGTCGGCTCTATTGATTGGGAAGTGAGCGGAAAAAATACAGCTGCTCGCTCACTTCTCGATATCTCCCTGCAGAGAGCCATAACTGTCAGTCATGGCTCCCTGCAGGGATTGCCCCCCTCCCCGGGGGGGGGGGCATAGTTGGCTCTGCCTCTAGATAGGCAGAGCCCGCTGTCAATCAGCCAGCTGGGTGGATCTTGACGCTATTGTATCCATCCCGGCTGTGGTGCTCTCAGTATATAGCAGGCAATAGTCCGCTATATCTGAATTTTGGGTCACGGGAAGACGTTAGTATATGTCCTCCCATGACCCTAAAGAGAACTATGAGAAAAAGAAAGGTGACCACATAGTTCTCTTATAAGGCTGAACTCCGATTAGGGACAACCCCCCCTTAGCGAATCGGCCCAGAAAAAAACAAAACTAAATCGGCCCTACTGGAACCACTCAGCTCGACAAAAAGTGATTTTCTGTCAAATATAATGTGGGGGATTGGAGAAAAACCCAGTTCGCCCATGCAAAACTGTGACTGTCATAACCCCCTCATGGCACATTCAATTGCGGCAGGGGAATTCCCTGCTACAACACATCATAAAGGGGTGGAGAATGCCCCTGCCACAACTGATGGAAGTGACTGTAGCCAGTCAGTTATGGGTGCTGGCTGTCCATATACAAATGTTGGCAAGGATGAATTTCCCATCCACACTGTTTAGGGTAGATGGGAGAATCAAGTGACTTCTCTTGTTCAGCCCAAAAAGCATAGTACAGGTGTATGGCTAGCTTAACCTCCCTGGCGGTCTGATTATCTCAGTTTTTTTTCTATTTTTTACTTTTAAATTTCCCGCCGGTTCCGCCCACTTGCGATGCAGGCGCTCGCAAGGGAAGGAACCTGGAAGACGGATGCCGGCATCGGCCAAAGGACACAGCGGGGCTTGTAGGGAAAAGGTAAGTGACACACAGTGTAATCCCGAGTGTGGCTCGCTCGGGGGTTGCCGTTTTTGGTACTGAAAATTAACCCCGAGCCACACTCGGGATTACCGCCAGGAAGGTTAAAGGATTAGTACACATTGAAGACATTTCAAAAAAATGTATATGCATTACAACTATAATTGCACATAAAATGGTGTCCTTTGGTGGAAAAATACAAGAATTTCACACTTGGAAATTCAAATATAAATATTGCATTGATATATTTAGTGAAAAATGTCACATCATGTCATATGGTGCTAACTTTTCGGGTCCGCACAGGGATCCTACATCAGAGCGACACGGTGACGAAAAAAAGATTCTTACTTTTGAAGTTGCTTCTACCGTGGGCTCCCCCTCTAAATTCTGCCTAAATATCAGGACAGACCAACACTTGGTTGCGCGGCCCCAACCCCTCACATACGAGCACTCAGCTGAAAGAGCTCCGCTTGCCTAACCATGCCTGCGTCTGTTGTCTCTCCCAGCAGCAGCTGAGTTTAGCATTCTGTGAGTGAGACAGACTGCGCATATGTGGTTAGGCAAGCCGACTTCTTGCAGCTATCGGTCCGTCCTGATATCTAGGCAGGACAGAGGGGGACCCCATGGTAGAAACCGCTTCAAAAGCGAAAATACTTTTTGGAGGGCTGGTTAACACCAGTGGCCACGTGCGTGTGCCTGTACCTTGCCAATGCACTCAATTGAACTGGATCACATTGTTGTTTTTTTTTGTTAGAACTTTATTCAAATGTCACAAGTGGCATTTTGTTAAAGGAGAATTATGGGGTAAGTGACAAACACTCATTCCCATAATTCAAGCCGACCTGTGACACTGAAGCTGTCACAGGTCGTCTCTATTGAACAGGAATTCAGCAAACACATACTGCTGATCGCTGACTTCCGAACCCTCTCCCTGCAAAGAGCGGTAACTGGCTATACCCGCAGATTGGCCCATAGTTCTCTTTAGGTTCTATGGGCTCACTGCACTGCGATGTGGTTGTACCGCATCTCACTGTGGTATACTTAAAAAAGTACCTTCAGGCCATACTTTAAAAAAAATATTTTTTACACAGGGCCTACTAAAAGGAATGACAGAATGGAATGGCCATAGACTTTGACAGGGGAAGAGAATGCCCATAGACTATAATGAAGCCAAACGGAATGCCCATAGAGTATAATGGGAAGCACAGTTTCAGATATTTTGTAGGCAAATCTGAAAAAGATATCAACTTATCCTTTACCACAGATCTTCCCCGTGTATAGTAACATCTTTTACAATTGAAATAACTTTGGATTTTTCCTGTTTTCTATGGAATGACAAGGGTGAATGACACCAAGAATGACCATAGAGTATAATGGGAAGAAAGATGGGCCATGGTGTCGAGAACCATATGACACTTCAAATAAATCTAAATCTAATAAATTATAGTCTATGGGTATTCTTGGTGTCATTCACACTTGTCATACCATAGAAAATAATGATAATCCCACCTAATCTCAATTTAGAACGTTGCTAATGTGCTTGGAGAGTATGCCTGCTACAGATTTATTTGCTGTGTCATATGGTTCTCGACTCCAAGGCCCATCTTTCTTCCCATTATACTCTATGCGCATTCTTGGTGTAATTCACCCTTGTCATTCCATAGAAAACAGGAAAAATCCAAAGTTATTTCAATTGTAAAAGATGTTACTATACACAGGGAAGATCTGTGGTAAAGGATAAGTTGATATCTTTTTCAGATTTGCCTACAAAATATCTGATACTATGCTTCCCATTGTACTCTATGGGCATTGCGTTTGGCTTCATTATAGTCTATGGGCATTCTCTTCCCCTGTCAAAGTCTATGGGCATTCCATTCTGTCATTCCTTTTAGTAGGCCCCTTTTTACACATGACCGGAAAGCGTCACCGTCCACAAGGCAAATTGTCTTCTGTTCGGGTTGCGCTGGAAAAAACGTCCAGCGCAGCCCAAACACAGATGGTGAGAACAAGCCCTGAAAACGAAGGACACCATTTTATGTGCAATCAAAGCTAACCTATATGGATTTTTAATAAGATGTAATTAAAAGGTGGACTAACCCTTTAAGGAAAGCAGGCAATCACCTTCCCAAGTGAACAGCCACTACTTCATTGCTCAGTGCAATCAGTCAAGCTTTGTTTTCTACAGAAAATAAGCCAGGATATCTGATTCTTTAGCCCATTATAGGAAGGCCCGGTCATTCTTTAACTCGTTTATAAGAAATGTTACAAGGAAATACTTATAGCAGCTGAAATATCAGTCATGGTGTATATGAGCTCTGTCCTTCCCTATAAAGGGTTAACTGCCAAAACGTTTCCAATGTGATGGGGCTTGCCCACACACTGCACTCTGTTATAACAAGGGGCAGCAGGCAGGTGATATGGACTCCATACATACACTTCACTTGGGGCACAGCGCGGACACAGGCTGCTCACTCAGGGCACAGCGAACACGCTAAACACGGGACCACGACACAGCTCTTCCGCATCCGGGCACCTGACGTGGCCCGGGCACTTGCAGCAACTTACCTGGGAGCTGCTGTCACTACAACCTGCCATTGTGCCGCCATTTTTGATACGGGCAATTGTAAAGCCACTTTAAAAACGACATACATTGTGCTAGGCTTACACCACGGCCACGCCGATAACAGCACAGCTCTAGTCAATGTTGTTTAGCACACGTTTATGGAGAGCATTGAGCTACTTTTTTAATAAACCGGGTAGATCACGGTCCGCAAAGAACGGAGCTGCAACAACCACAGCGGCGTCTAACGGCTCACGCTCGTATTTCTACTCATCACCCATTGGCTCCTAAACCCTTAGTCACTTTGACTTCAGTAGCTCTGCCCGCCCCTCCCTTTCAGCTGACTTTCCCGCGCCCGTGACGCACAGAGCTCCTGGTGACTCCACCCTCTCCCAGAGCGAGAGTCTCTGTCAGCGGAAATGACGACCTTTCTAGCTCTCAAGTAACAACAGCCTTCCACGTGCGCCTAAGATCACGTGGTGAGGCAGCGACCAATAGCGGAGTGTGTCGTGTAGCCGAGCAGCTGGTGACAGAGTGGGCGGGTCCGGGTGTCAATGCAGATAAGTCCTGAGCGATCAGGCGGCTGTGGCTTTACTGGAGTTGGGTAAGTAGTTGGGCTGTGCTCGTATGGTGTGTGATTGTTGGGGATTCCGGTATTCGCATGTACAGCTTGTTCTTGGTCACTGTTATTCGTGTAGGGCTTGGTTCCTTATCAGTGCTGGGCTATGGTTTGGTAACACGGTGCCAGTGATCGTCTCGTGTTCACGTCTAAAGTTCTATAATCCATTACTGCACCATTGAGGGATGAGACCTGTACCTCATTGTATATGTATTCTGTAATCAAGAGGCTGGAACTGAAGAGGTTATATAAGATTGTGCATGAGCCATTACTGCACCACTGAGGGAATGAGACATTTACCTTTATTGTATTTGTAGTCTGTAATCGGGAGGCTGTAACTAAAGGGGTCATGCACAGTAATTTATATAATCCATTACTGCACCATTGAGGGATGAGACGTATACCTTCTTCTAGATATATTCTGTAATCAGGAGGCTGCAACTAAATGGGTTATATAAAACTGTGCATGAGCCATTATGGCCATTATTGAGGGATGGGACTTGTACCTTTTATTGTATATGTATTCTGTAATCAGGAGGATGCAATTATAGAACTCCTGCACAATAATACTCTATATGCCCATCTATGCTGCTGGCAGAAAATTATGTGCGTATGTATGTAGAAGAATTCTGGTGGCTAGAGTATTCATTTGTTCTAGCCACTAGAACAGAGGTGGGCAACTCCAGCCCTTTAACTGCCCTTTAACTACAAATCCCAACATGCTTTGGGTAGTCTTGCCTGTACCAATCAGTCCGGCAAATGCCTCATGGCACTTGTAGTTCCACAACAGCTAGAGGGCTGGAGTTGCCCACCCCTGCACTAGAATATGTGCGTACATGTGTGTTTAAGTGTAACTTGTGACTGTAAGCTCCTCTCCAAATGCAGATTTTGGGACATTTTATTCTGAATGCCTGAGTGCTGCTCTAAGACCCCATTCACACTGAGCTACATCCAAAAAAAACGTTTTTCTTTTTTAGCATGATTTTGAGCTGAGTGACATTGAGCTATAGTGCACATTTTGCTGCATGACTTTTGTAGGGACTTTGTAGCTGATACATTGGGCTGTAACCAATCAAAAGTGGTCGTGATGTGACATAATTCCTCGTTTCCTTCTTCTGTTCCTTATTATATTTCTGTGCAAAAGTGACACTTCTGTAATTCGATAATGAGCTACACCATTGAAGTCCATTGGGCCAAATTGCACGAAATCTGCCGAAAAATAGGTCATGTTCAAGAGACAAGCTAAGGTGACATGCTATGAGATGTTTAACAGCTCCATTGAAATGCATTGGACAAGCAACACCGAGCTGATATTTCAGCAATTTTTTTTTTGAGCTGAAATCGCGCTACAAATTGCTCCATTTGAATGGGGTCTTAATATGGATCTAAACCCCACAATGTGTGTGGACACATTGACTGACTAAATTAGAGCTGTAGTTAGAGGCTTTTTTTCTGCCCATGTGCATGAGACCTAAAGGGAACCTGTACTGAAATGGCAGCATCTATATTTCTTCCAGATATGCTTCTGAAAATGTTATTTCTGGAGCTGGTTTTGTTTTCAGTGCTTTTGGATTTTATGATCTGGAACAAGTATGTGGTTGTGGAAGTTGGAACTCCCAATCAGCGTACTTGTGCCAGAAGGTAAGAATGATGGCCAGGCAGCCGGCATTGTTACAAGTGGTCAGCAATAGCTACATATTCTGTCAGCACAGGTTCCCTTCACTCAGATATAGCCCAGCAAGGATACAGATGACGTTCCAGTTCTTTGTCATTGGCAGTGGTTAAAGCAGATCACTGTGTCATCTTGAGTGTCACAATTGAGCGTCGGAGATAATCAATGCTGAAGCATTTTAATCCCTGGGTCCACACGGGCATTTCCCAGTTATCTAAATTCTCTGTCCGTGTATTAAACGCTAATATAGGTGTGGTTAAATGGTGGGGGCAAAAAACAGTCCTTTAAAGAACTCCAGAAAACGAATCCTTGTAGTGTGGCTACCCCCAAACTGTAAGGTTTAACTGCTCATTATGTCTAGGGGCTCAAATTTAAAGCATGCACTCATCAGATCTTCAGCCCTGCGGCCGTGATTGCTTACTTTTCTTCCCCTCCACTCTGGTGGTGAAGTACCCCTGCAGTAGACATTGTGATTTCATGGGTGCTTGGACCACTGTAGTCCAGGGAAGAAGAGGCTGTAGGGACTGGACTAGCAGTGAAAAGAATTGTCAGGACATATTTTTTTATATAAAGTTTGCTTAGAAGATGGCTGATTGGCTGTGCTGTTTTTATCTTGTTTGCAATGGAGATTTGACAACTCCTGGTCTTGTGGGCACAGGACAAGTATCAGGAGCCATATTGTTAGTGACACTAAACTCAGGCGTTAATCTCCTTATGAAGGGTGGCTACTTTTGTTCCTCATGGTCCCTGTGTGTTGTAAAGTAGCAACCACTCCAAGACCACTCCTGTGATGGACTACAGTCTCATATTTAATGTATTAACTTGTATTGAGATTAGTCCACGGGAGTGAGCTTGGAGCGGTGGCTACTTTGCAATGCACACAGAGAACATGGGGAACAAAAGTAGCCACCCTCCAGAAGGAAGGACAGTATGAGCACAAATTCAGAGATGATTTGAGGAATTACAGCTGAGTGATGCACAAATAAGGTCCAGTTTTGTTAATAGTTAAGGTAATTGAATACATTTTGAGATTTAACTCCTGGGTTTAGTATCCCTTTAAGGTACCATTCACACATATTGCAGTGACCCACGCTGTACTGCACCGGATCAATGCAGGTCACAGCAAGGACACATAGAAAATTATTCTCAGGTCCCCTGTCATGCGAGGACCGAAATGGAGTCTACGCATTGTACATGCCACATAAAGTTGAGAAAAAGTCAAATAAAATAAAAAAACCCATGACATCACTGGCAGTGTACAATACAGCGCACACTGCTAGGGCTGCAACAGAGCGATGGCTTTTGTAGTGTGAAGGGGCACTTGGTTATGTCAAAAGTTGCTTCTAGCACCGTCATATTCAATTCATTGAAATCCTACATAAGGGCGATGTTGGTTACCATAACTTGGGGTCTAAAATGTGTCCAGTAACACACAATTGTTCTCTTGGAGAACCAGAGCAAGTGTCATTGAAGCTGAAATCTGTTTTTGTTGCTTCCAGTCCTTTGTGTTCACACTAGAAAGATATGCATGCTTACACAATTGCTTAAAGCAAACCTTTGCACTGGAAAAATCTAATTCTACCAATGCATCCCTCTGTGTATGATGAATAATAACAGACATGTTAGGTGTAAAATGCTGTGATTTCGGAATATTTACACTTGCAGAACATTCACATCCTGCTTTGAAAGGGCAAAGTGCTTTTGTTTGCCAAAGCAATGCACACTGGGATTGCCTTGTCATCAGCAGAGCATTGCAGGGAAATGTCATCCGTAATCTCGGGAGATCTCAGGGAAAGGCAATTTCCTCCCCTAAGATGATGTGCATGGTCACATGTCCTAGTCACATGTGCCAGAAATCCAGCAAGTAATGGGAAAGCTAGTAATCTGCCCTTTGTAAACAGAGCCACTGCCAGCAGACGGCATTTATGTAGAAGTACGTGTATGTGGATCGTCATTACTAAACCATTCTAAAGGTGCATTTGTTGTTTTAAATGTGTGTAAAGGTCCACTTTAAGGTTGACTCCAGCAATCATTGACAGAACTGACAGTGGCTTGCTTGTTTGCAGCCCAACTAAGCTTTCAGTTACATTTGGCTAAATACATTGCATGTGCATCTAAACAAAAGGTGTGCGGAGTCTTACTTTCTTTAGAAACAGTTACAGCCTCAGTAATAAAGTGTTGTCCTCTGCCAGCATGCTGCTGGGAAGCAGTGGTCTCATTCATGGGTCTGCCACTTACCCCCAACCTCCTGTCCTTGCTGAGTCAGAGCTAGAGTGCTCTAATCAGAAGGGAACATGAGCTTTAAGATTTAGTGGATTTACTAGTAGGTGCACCCTGTCAGCAGTTGCAGATGTTTAGCAAATTCTTCCAGAAGTTGTTCTTTCTAGACCAATGACTGCCAGGTGACACAATAGCTTTGTGATTTTCCTTGTACCCGATTATAGACCTTGTTGTTTTCTATTCCAGGGACCTCCGTGATGGCTTCAGCTCAATCTGTGCTCACGTTTGCTGTTTGTATCTTATTAATATCTGAGGTCATATTGGCAAAAAAGACTTACTATGATGTTTTGGGGGTTCCGAAAAGCGCTTCAGAGCGTCAGATCAAGAAAGCTTTCCACAAGCTTGCGATGAAGTATCATCCCGATAAAAATAAAAGCCCTGATGCGGAGGCCAAATTTCGGGAAATAGCTGAAGGTATGTCTAGCATTTGAAAGAATTTTAGTATTTAAAGGGAACCTTTTATAGGATAGAAACATTGATGCTGCCTTGGCTTTGAAGTTGCATCTCTTGGGTCTCCTGTTTTGGTATGAAGTCTGATCTGGAATATGCAATGTAGCCAGTGATGTGTTCAAACGCTTCATGTACACGGAAATATGCAGCTTTAAACAAGAAGCTAGTAATAGCATCTCAAGTTTCATGTCCTGACAGGTTCCTTTTTAACTTCTGAACAGTCTATGAATAACTATAATTCTTTCCATTGAACCTCCTTGGGGGGCCCCATTCATGGTGGTGGTTTGCAGCTATGCAATAGGCCACCTGCTCTCTTCTGCACCGGATTTTGGTGCAGTGTTAGCATATCTTCTGTCGAGCAATAGTACTTCTGGCAAGTGAATGGTTAGACCTTCCTGGCACAGGTAATGACTTGATATTATTTCAGCACCTGCAAGTATTAGCATATGTATCAGTCAAGAAGACATTTTGGGGTTGATTTACTAAAGGCAAATAAACGGTTGACATTGCAAAATAATTTGTCCTTTTCAGGGGAATTTTCATTGCTAACTTTTATCATCCAATCACGTGCAAGCAAAAATACTGTTTATTTTCCTTGAATATGATTGGGTATTCTTTGCAGTGGTGTTTTCCCTGCGCTTGGTGAATGTGGTGAAAATTAAAGGAGAACTATGAGGTGAGTGCTTTTCACTCATCCTCATAGTTCTAGCCGACCTGTGACAATGAAACTGTCACGGGTTGGCTCAGTAGATCAGGAAGTGAGCGAACACATACCGGCGTTCGCTCACTTCTCGATCCTGTCGCGGCAGAGAGCCGCGACAGGGGAGGGACTGGATTCCCCCCTCCGATCCTCCAGTGCTGACTGGAGGAACAGACGGGGGAGGGGGCGGGTACAGCTGGCTCTGCCTCTAGAAAGGCAGAGCCAGCTGTCACTCACGCAGCTGGACGGATCCAGACATAATTGTCGGGATCCGTTTCAGTGGCGGCGTCTCAGTATACCGCTCGCGGTATGCTGAGCTTAGGGTGACGGGAGGACACTAGTTTGTCCTCCCATTACCCTTAGGAGAACTATGGGGAAAAGTCCTAACCCCATAGTTCTCAACTTTACGAAGTATAAATTCTAGGGATGCACCGATATATCGGCGGCCGAAAATGGCACTTTTGCCATATTGCCGAAAGAGCCATGTTTCGGCCAATACATCGGCACATCCCAGGTTTCTTTCCTCCCCGTTGGGCGCTGCTCTGTGCTCCAGCGGGAAGAAAAGAAAGTGACAGCCGGCCGAGCGCTGCAGGACGAGAGCACTGCGAGTGGCCGGCGTCTCTCCTCCCACGCCGCTCAGCCGCCTATCGCAGTCCGGCATGGCGGTGTGGGGGCGGAGACAGCGCTGTCATAGGAGGCTGGGCTTACTCTCTACACCGCTCGATCAGCCTCCTGTGACAGCGTGTCAGAGAGAAAAGCAAGGTACACACACTCGGTGATCGCTGAGTGTGTACATAATTGAGGATATGGTATGTGGACTATATCCTCAATTATGAATGAATGGGAGTGATCTACATCACCCCCATTCATTCATAATTGTGGTTATAGTAAACAATGTTCTCATGTTATCAATGAACAAACACTCATACAGGATTCCTTTTCATTGATAACAGGTGACACAGAAATTCAGAGTTAGGACTTACCGGTAACTCTATTTCCATTAGTCTTCCAGGACAGCATCACGAGATGGAATCTCCTCCCCCACACACAGGAAACACGTCACTTAATCTGCTTAAAAGACCCTCCTCTCCTCCACTCCCTCAGTCATCACGAGAACCGAAGGCAAGCTGGAAAAAGACAAGGCACAAACAGGCAATACCACTACATCACATTAACACTACAAGCATCAATGGGCGGGCAGTTGCTGTCCTGGAAGACTAATGGAAATAGAGTTACCGGTAAGTCCTAACTCTGAATTTCCTAAAATTAAGTTTATAAAAAATAAAATATTTAAAAAAATTTAAAAAAGGAAAAAACATTTTTCGCTTTCAGCCTGACATTATTTTATTTTGGTTTTAACTTTTCCATTTCGGTGCACCTCTAGTAAGTTCCCTTGCAAAGTGAGTGTTCTTATTTGTCTTTAGTTAATTTACCCTTTTGTCTCTAGAGGATATGTCTACATAACTATGCTTTTCATATAGCCCTGGGCAGAGCAGCAAACAGTAGTGGGCAGGGATGAGCTTGTGTTCAGACTGAACCTGAGCTCCTCTGTTCCTGGAAGAAGCTCCTACTGAAAACTAAAAGTAAGCTCATTCTGTGCCACCCAATCAGTTGCTGGTGGGGTATTTCCTGCCCGCAGTTTAATGTAAGCAAAGGGTTGTTACATGCAGCTGCGGGTAGGGAAATATACGTACCACAGCTGAGTAGGTGGAAGTGTCCACAACACTTTCTTAGGAGGAGCTCTAGTTTGGACTGGGTTCAGTCTGAACCTGAGCTTATCCCTACTACGAAGGACCCTTATCTTTGCATACAACAAAAGTACAGAGATGGATATGAACCAAGTATCCCCTTTTCACTTTGTGTATTTCTTTGCACAGGACATATTTTAAAGAAAAAGCACATGAAGGGCCAACTTTGATAAGCTGCGCAACCTAGTGGGGGAAATAAAATGGGAAAACTTATTTCAAAACCTAAACGCAGACCAGATGTGGGATTGTTTTAAAAACGCACTACATACTGCTACTTCAAAGTGTATACCTTTTTTAGGGAGCAAAAATGAAAGGTCAAAAACTAAACCAATATGGTTTAATAAAACTGTAAAACAACACGTCAAGGACAAAAGAGCGGCATTTATAAAATATAAGACGGAGGGGACGGCATTGGCGTTCCTTAACTACAAAGAATGTAACAAAAAATGCAAACTAGAAATCCGGGCAGCTAAAACTGAGTGCGAAAAGCATATCGCCACAGATAGTAAAAAGAACCCCCAGAAATTCTACCAATATATTAACAGTAAAAAGGTGAGAAAGGAGCAGATAGGCCCAATAAAGGATG